GCAGCCAAACGGCGCAACGCAATAAAGATCAAGAACCCGTGGCTCCTTAAACACGTTTTCATTCCACATCTGTTTCTCGAAGTCATTATTTCGCTGCTTTTTTCCCCCTTGGAGTCGGTTTTCTCACTTTCTGCACGACGCTGATCGTGTGCCGGTCCAGAATGCAAATAATCTGCAGGTTTCCACCGAAGCTGCAGCTCCGCTACCAAACATCTTCTGTGCAACCTTCAACGAGCTGCAGCTTCCGTCCATAAACAGCCTGTAAACTACCAGCTCAGAGGCCGCGGCTCTGTTTACGTGAAGCCCGGCGGGTCGCTTCCAGGGCAGGAGGGAAGCCGCTTGGCCCCCCGACCGGCCCACCCAGGCCGGCCAGGACAACGAAAACAGGCCCGACCCGACAGCTCGGCGGAGCGAGGCCTCCCACACAAAGAGCCGACATTGACTATGAAAGGAAGACCGTTGGGGAGATGAAAGGAGGCAGCGAGAGACGAGAAGAAAGACGAGGATGAAACGCATCGAAGGCGGCGCCACGTGACCCAAAGGAATGTCAACTATTTCACAACCAAACAAGCAGAATTCTGCAGCTCTGGAGTCGGACTTCACACCAGTGGCACCCGTTTGACTCCACCACGAGTTCAAGTGTTTGATTGGATGAAGTTGGACCTTAAAAGCATCGACGCCAGTCGAAACGTTGGAAGATGATGTCGATGTCGATGGCTGCAAAGAGATGCAACAGAACCACGAGGAGACACTGCACTGGACCACCGTGAATATCAGAACCAGTCTTTATTAGAATCCAACCAAACAGTTGCAGAAGTTTCATCCTGAAGCTCGTCAGTAAATCAGTCTCTATTCACGCCGCGCCCTCAAATTAAATTAAACACAAAGTGCTTTACGATCAAACGGGAAGAAAAACATTAATTTATTGTAAATGAAGGAGGGAAAGAACCAAACGGACCATTAACGGCTTTATGGACCAATAAAAGCAGCCGTAAAGGGTTTCCACTGGGTTGGTGCTGAGGTGGAACCTGCCAGCAGTGGAAGCTAACGGGATGGAAACCTGCATCGTCCTCCCTGAAGCCTCCCTCCTCCTCCCCCATCCTCACCTCTGTCAACCGGACCCACCGATTAGCATCATAAAGGCTGCCTTAACCTCCCCCCGCTCAGAACAGACGGCATTCTGACAGGCTGACGTCATCCACAACAACACGCTGGAAACACTGGAAGCACTGGAAACACTGGAAACGCTCTAATCGAACCATCTGTATATCCAGACACGATGCAGAGCTGCTGTGTGTTTGTGTGTTTTTGTTTGTTGTTGTTTTTACGCTGAAAATTGTTTCTGAAAATATGATTGAACCCGAAACCCCGATGTGTTTACAAACAATACATAAAACAAACAAACAAACAATGATGGCAACAGGTGCGGATCAAATCCTGTACGCTTAAGCAACAGGTTAATAAAATAATGAAAATAAATAATAATGTTGGGGCAAAAATAGATCCATAAAATATTCTGTAAAACATGGTGAAGATGTTGCAGCAGAGCTTGATCAAATCCTGTAATATCTGAAATAAATAAACTAAACTGTGGTTCAATATCAGAGCAAAATGTAGCTGGAACAGGAACATAATGAAAGTAAACCATGAAGAACATTCATTCTTCTTCTTCATCGCTGTCGTCGTCATCACCTTCTTCTTTGCTTTCTTCTTCCTCCTCTTCTCCTTCTTCTTCTTTGTCATCTTCGTCTTCTTCTTCTTCCTCCTCCTCTTCTTTCCTCTTCTTCTTCATCTTCTTCCTCCTTCTCGTCCTCCTGTTCTTCCTCTTCGTCTTTTTCTTCTTCCTCTTCTTCTTCCTCCTCCTTTTCTTCTTCTTCTTCGTGTTCTTCTTTCTTTTTCTTCTTCTTCATCTTCTTCCTCTTCTTCTTCTTCTTCTGTCCTCCTTCTTTCCTTCCTTCCTTTACGTTTATTTTTTTAGTCTTGTAATTAATGAGCTGGTCTTGCTGCAGACTCAGGAGTAAATATGACGAACAAACCTAAATGTATTTAATCAGATGTCACAGATGAAGAGAAGAACTAACCTGATGATTAGTGCCAGTTTTACTGTGAACCTCTTTAAATGATCTTGTTTTTGTTTCCAGCTGTGTGTTTTTGTTCATTCTTAGTGAACTCTCAGTGGACTCCTGCTGGCTCCGCCCCTTTCTCTTTATTTCCCGTCTGCACGCGTGCGAAAGCGTCGGCTCGACGCATCGTCGCGGCCGCTGGGCGGCAGATGGCGGCGGCTTCCTGCGTGAGCACGCTGCGCTGCACTCTGGGGGATGGAGTCCTCGGGGAGCGCTGCTACCTGCAGCGTGTGCACGAGTCATTATGGCTGTAATGAGCCCGCGGCCTCCTGGGAAACCGAGTCTTTACCATCATTAGTCATTAGCACGCAGACAGCTGGACGCGTTATCAACTCGAGTCCTGAGCTGGTTTATCTGCCGAGTTATTGATCGGTCAGGGGGCCAGGTGACTCCTCTGGTCGCCACGGTGACGATCAGCTGATCTGACCAATCAGAGCTCCTGTCCAGGTGAAATTTAATAAATACATGCACTGGACCTCACATTGTTATAAATGTGGGTTCGTTTTATGCAGCACTTTATAATTTAGTCGATGTGTAGAGACAAGGGATTTTTAGTTTGACAATTGGTGTTTTAAAGTTGTTTTCCTTTTTTTAAAAAAGTGAAATTAGACATCTAATAATTTACATGTTAACTGTAAAAAAAAAAAATTAAAAAACAGCCAAAAATGTATATTTTTATAAATTCTAATGCATTCTTTTACATTTGACCCTCTTTTTTTTTTTTTTTAAATGTATTTAAATAAAAGAAAAGAAAAAATGTTAACAGATATTTTCCCTTATTTGTAATAAAAGTCATGTATGTTAAGGATAAAAGTGGAAATATTTTTTTAACTGTTTTTTTCCCTGTTTTGTTAAAATTGACAACATCCAATAAGATCACAGATAAACTAATAATTTACACGTTAAACGTAAAAAAAAGTTTAAAGTTTATTTTATTTTTTTACTGTATTTAAACTGCATATTTTTTCAACAGATATTTGCTGTTATTTGTAAGGAAAGTTCTGGATGTTAACTAAAAACAAATGTGTAAATATTTCCCATGTGTTGTTAATAAACGAATAAAATCACAGAAAAAAATATTACTTCACATATTGATAGTAAATAAAAAAGAAATAAGAGACAAAAAAAGGCCAAAACATAATGTCCACATAAAAATCAGTGTTTTTATTAATCTGGTTCAACATTTGGCTGCCAAATGAGACAATTTTACTCAATTTAGATAAATTATTTTACAAATGTTATTTAAAAGAAAAACACTGAAGGCCTGTTTAAACTGCTGCTTTATAATAATATCTGGTAAAGTCTTTCTTATGGCACCTTTGCTGCCAGATTCTCGTCCACGTCGACCAGAACACGCCACCAGAGTCGTGATGTTTGCAGCTTCAGCGTGGCTCAGCGTCCAGACTCAGATCTTATCAGCTGAGCGACGCTTCCTGCCGAGTCCTCGGGGAGTTGTAGTCTTTAGGAGCCATTAGGACTACAGCTGTGCTCATTTCCCTTCATCACCGTCTCATCTCTGATCACATTATTGTTCTGGAGCTTTTTTTTTAGCTTTAACCCTTTGATCTCAGGAGGTTTCTGGGTGTTTTTGGCTCATTTATTCTCATTGTGATTAATTTTTCACTGCAGTATAAACACCTGCAGCTCAATAACTGAAGAAAACCGTCCAAGAAGAAATTCTGGCTTCA